AAGTGATCACTTACTGCTTTTTATTAAATGAACACATGTATATGTAACTGAAGTAGCGCAAAACAAGTACAGAAAGTGCATTCTGTTAACTTTTTTAGTGCATGCAATTCACAATTTACACTGCAACTGGGGGAAATAATTAAACTAAAAAAGCTAAAAGTTTTTAGCTAAGAACACAAGTCTGTCAACTGTCTCTGGTTTAAGAGAAGCTCTGTGGCATGAAACTATGTTCCCTCTGGAAGTAAAAACCCTCTCAGATGGGAAGCTAGTTGCTGGAACACATAGGTATATATAGGCTATATATATAAGTTAATACCAAAGACTTATGCACTCTCTCTATATTATGAAAACTGGTAAAACAAATGAAAGATATTATAACAGTGAAATTTCTAATAGTAATTCCAAACTGCCATAGCCTATGTTTCTCTATTCAAACAACAGCGGTTGAGTAAGTGCATTTATTCAGCGATCACAATCAATACAGTCGAGATCTCATGACAGAACACAGACTGGTTGAGTGACACTTTCATTTAGATCGCTAAACTCCAGCTTGTTTGTTGGTGTTTTCAGATCATAGGTATATATAGGCTATATATATAAGTTAATACCAAAGACTTATGCACTCTCTCTATATTATGAAAACTGGTAAAACAAATGAAAGATATTATAACAGTGAAATTTCTAATAGTAATTCCAAACTGCCATAGCCTATGTTTCTCTATTCAAACAACAGCGGTTGAGTAAGTGCATTTATTCAGCGATCACAATCAATACAGTCGAGATCTCATGACAGAACACAGACCGGATGAATGACGCTTTCATTTAGATTGCTAAACTCCAGCTTGTTTGTTTTTCAGATTATCGGCGGCAGCGCTTCTGCAATGAGGAGCGAGCGTTTGCGCATGGTTGCCAGATTGCAAAACACCGGGCAGAAAATGTATCCTTGTAAAAGCAAAGCTCTGATTCGGGGATTTGAACTCTTGATATCTGGCAACCGCACTCATGAAAGCTCGTGTAGTAGAGGCGTGTAGAGCAGTCCACAATAACCGTCTCCTTTTTTGGACGTTCGGCGCGTTCTTTTAGGAAAGTATGCTTGAATTTGAAATATTCGATATTCACGATATTTTCAAATTTTACATCGTCGTCAAAATTCACACAATATGCAAGATTTCATTTTGGCATTATCTGTTTTATTTTGACATTTGTAAAAAAAAATTGTAATTGCACGTATTTTGCATGTGTGAATATGATTGATATCTTGAGAGCTTCCTGTGCAGTTCCTGCCTCTCTTTTGCTGTCTGTCTAATAGTCACTCACTCTGATTCGCTAAGTCTCATGCTCCTCCCACTAAAAACGACCAATCATTGACCTTCCTCATTGGTCTTCACTCAGTGAAGATGCATGCAAAGTCCCAGAGCTTCTTTACAGTCGCTTGTTTTATTCTGATGCATTCAGTTCATAAAAGGTGTTGATTTGGTCTTGATGGAAGCCCGTTTCCACCACTGAATAAAAAAAAAAAAAAGGGTAATTATGA